CCCCCCCCCCGAGCCTTCCACTCCCTGCTGTATTAAGTTCTCTCAATGGCGGCCCGCTATCTTACAACCTCCACACTGCCCTCCTGCACACCCACCTGTCCCGGATCTCCTGGGCCAGCAGCTGTAGGCAGCGAGCCGTGCGGGACCGTTGCATCTCCTCACCGTCCCTCAGAGTCTTCTGCAAGCCCTGCAGACCTTGGGCCAGGGCCCCATACAGCTCCTGCCGACTCTGCTCAGTGCCCCACTTCTGGCCTTCCTTCTCTCCTTGGCGGCTTGTGGGGCTCAACACTTCTGCAGAGAGGGTGGGACACTCTTGCTTTTATTTTTGTGTGGGGGTGTACGTGTACATATCTGTTCACGTGTGTGCACAGGTGTGTGCACAGGTACGCAGACACGTGGATGTGTGTGGGCGAAGGGAGGTCCAAGGTCATACTGGGTGTTCTCAGTTCTTCTCCACCTTATCTTTTGAGACAGGGTCTCTCACTGAACCTGGAGCTCGAAGATTGGGGTAGACCTGCTGGCCAGGGAGCCCCAGGGCTCCTCCTTTCTCCACCTCTGCAGAACTGGGATTACGAGTGTACGCCACAAAGCCCAGCTTTTTTTTTAGCCTGAATTCTGGACATGAACTCAGGTCCTCATGCCTGGACGACAAGCATTTTAGTAACAGCTATCTCCCCAGTCCTGTATTTTTTAAGATTACTTATTTCTATTTTATGTGGTTTATGTTTCATAGGTGTTTTACCTGGTTCCCATGGAGGCCAGAAGAGTGTGTCCTATCCCCTGGAACTGACGCTACAGAGGATTGTGAGTGACCATGTGGATTCTGGGAACACAACCTGGGTCTTCTGCAAAAGCAGGCAGTGCTTTTTTATATTTTTTTTTCTTTTTTTTCAGAGCTGAGGACTGAACCCAGGACCTTGTGCTTGCTAGGCAAGCGCTCTACCACTGAGCTAAATCCCCAACCCCTATTTTTTATTTTTATATTTTATTTATTTATTTATTTATTTTTGGTTTTTCAAGACAGGGTTTCTCTGTATAGTTTTGGCGCCTGTCCTGGATCTCGCTCTGTAGACCAGGCTGGCCTCAAACTCACAGAAATCCGCCTGCCTCTGCCTCCAAGTGCTGGGATTAAAGGCGTGCGCCGCCGCCACAGGTGGCCGCAGGCAGTGCTCTTAACTGACAAGCCATCTCTCAGCCCCAGGGCTCTGTTTTTATTTTTTATTTTCCAGAAAAAATCTCTGTTGCAGTCTGACTTTCAGTCTCTAATTAGATGAGGGTAACCTTGAACTCCTAATCCTCCTGTTTCCATCTCCCACGTGCTGGGATTGCAGGCATGCACCCCCAGGTCCAGTTTTATTCCATGCTGGAGGTGGAACCCAGGACTTCATGCGTGCTTCATGCGTGCTCTACCAACTGAGGCCCAGCCCAGCCCAAAACGGTGGGAACCAGATGTGGCCTGGGACCAGCCTTGACTCCAGCTTTCCCTGACCCTGTTCTGACCTTGACCTGGAACTTCTACTCACTTCCAACTTACTCAGACCTGGGTCTCCGTCTAGTCCTTACCTTCAAGCTGCTGGATTTTGATCTGCTGTAGGCAGCTCTCCTTCTCCAGCATGGTCACAGAGTGGTTCAGGAACTCAAAAGCCTGGGGGGTGGGGGCACAGGTGAGGCTCTAGAGCAAGGACCACGACGAGAACAGGGGTACAGAGGAGGGGGGGCCTCACCTTGGTCTGAGCCTGCAACTGGGTCCTGAGAGACTCTAGTTCACATCGCAAGAGCTTCTGAGCATCAGGGATTAGCATGGCGTTCTTAACTGTAGGCAGAGGCAAGGGGGAGCCATGGCTGAGGTGCGATCAGAGCAGAGATGGGTGGGTAGATCAGAGGAGAGACAGGGGCATGTAGAGAGCAGGGGGGCCCCTGGAAGCATTTAATGAACGTGGGCCTTGGTACTGGAGAAGAAAGTGGATGTAGGGGGCCTGCAAGATGGCTCTGGGGGTGAAGGGACTTGCCACTAAACAGACGACCTGAGTTTGAACCCAGGGACCCGCAGGGTAGGAGAGAACCAACTGGTAAGTTGTCCTCTGACCTTCAAATGTGTGCCATGGCACACACATCCTCAAATACAGGAGGTAAATAAAGCAAAGTAAAGGAAAATTTAAGTGGGGCTAGAAACCCGACTGCCTCCCTCCAGTCTCAGCAGGAGAGGGCGTTCACCTTTTACTTTAGAAGAGCCAGGCTCCGGGGACTTCTGGGAAAGAGAAGAAGAGGAAAATGGTGATGAGTTCCCAGACTGCTTACCTTGATGCAGTTTGGAGGGAAGGATAAGAGTGGTCTCTCGAGTTCTGGTTATCCCTAACCAGGAATTCAGGCAAAACTGTGTCGGGGGCATTCATCCACTGCCCTTACCCCCAAGGTCATCATCTGAACATGCTCAGAAGGGCACTTGTGTGTCTCATCTCACGTGTTTATGGGCCCCTGGGTTGACCCTGGCAGGAAGCAGATGCCAAGCTTTCCCTTAGGAGTACAAGACATCACTGACAGCAGGGTCCACAGTGGACACCATCGGCACATGACACACCACAAGCTGTTGTTGAACATAATCAGCTACAGGCACACAATTTTAGACACAAGTGTGAGTCTCACACACACACAATCAGAAACCATATAGATACAAAAACAAACACAAGCACACACACACACCCCTTCAAAATATGAAAGTCAGACATAATGTCTCCTTCCTATAATCCTAGCATTCGGGAGATGGATGCAGAAGAAACAGGAGTTCAAATCCAGCTTTGGCTACAGAGCAAGTTCAGGGCCAGCTTGGCCTACAAGAGATACTCGCGAAACAAGCCAAGACACAAACAGGTTTTCTTCTAGTCCTTCCTTCTTCCCTCTAGGGTGCTGTTCTAGGTGCTGAAACCCCTGCAGGTCGCTGCTCAGCAGTCCCTTCCCTAGGCCCCACAGTGGTACACTGCAAGTACATTCCTGGGCTAAGGAGGCTTTGGGGAGTGTGTGACCTTGGTTGGGCTGTGGTTCCTCTTCACAAGCTCCTGGTCATGACAATGTTCCTTGTGCAGGTCTAAGTTGGAATAGGAGGCAGCCTCATGAGGCTGAGATGCCGAGTCCCACTCCGGCCCCCAATCCACAATCCTCGGTGTTTGTTCTGAAGTAGCGTTGACGATCTCAGGCTCCAAGGTCCTGGACCAGCGGGTCATACAGTCCAAAGCCCTGTCTGAGGAGGACCCTGGGGGAAAGGGTTTCCTTCAGGAACACGTGATAGCAAGCTTGCAATTGTCAGCCCCGTCCGGCCCTCTAGCTGTCTACCAGGCCCCCCAGGAACTCCAGTACTTGCCCCTCTTCTGGTTGGCAGGCCAAGATGTGATGGAGAGTGAAGGAGGTGAGCGGAGATGAGATACACAGTAGTCAGGGTCCCGGGGCAGGCCAGCCAAAAGAGGGTCGCTGCAGAGAGGGGGATGGGAGGGGCTCTGAGACCAGTCTCTAACTCGTAATCCTTTCATTTTTAGTAATTTACTGTTGTTTTCAAGACAGGGTCTTGTGTAGCCCAGGCTGGCCTCCAACTCATTATGTAGCCAAAGATGACCTTGAACTGCTGACCCTCGAGCTTCTACCTCCCTAGCTCCAGGATGACAGGAGTCACTACATTCAGTTTATACAGGGCTGGGGACGGAACCCAGCACGTTAGGCAAGTGCTCTACCAACTGAGCCTCAACCCCCGGCCTCCTAACCCCTCTAGAGTCTCCCCTCAGAGATGTTTCAGCCCAGAAATGTCTCAGTGTTGACAGAAGGCAAGTCAGATGAAAGGTCAATCCAGAGGTGGGGTTGGGGTATGAGAACCCAGACATCCCACACGAAGACGTTAAGGCCTTGAAGCGCTGGTCAGAGAACCCATGAATAAGGTGCTTGCCTGCAAAAATGGATCCCCAGTAACCAACTGAACAGTGGAAGGAGAGAACCAATGCCGTAAGCTTGACCTCTGACCTCTACATGTATGCCATGACATGTGCACACTCACACACACATCATACACACCTAAGAATAAGAAATAAAGTTTTATATTAAAAAACGAGAAGAGAGATAGCTCAGTGGTTAAGAGCACTGACTGATGTTCCAGAGGAACTGGGTTCAATTCCCAGGTTGTCTGGAGTCCGATCATGCCAGGATAAAAAAATAAATAAAAGGAAAAAAGAAGAGAGAAAAAGTAGGGGAGGTGGGGGGGGGGCGTGAGGGATTGGAAGAGAGGAGGGAGGGAGGGGAACTGTGATCTGGTTGTAAAAAAATTAATAAAAAGAAAGTAGCCACACGCCTTTAATCCCAGCACTCAGGAAGCTGAGGCAGGCAGATCTGTGTGAGTTCGAGGACAGTGTGATCTACAGAGTGAGTTCCAGGCCTGTCAGAGCTACCTAGAGAGACCCTGTCAAAAAAAAAAAAAAAAAAAAAAAAGGCTTGAGAACTGGCTTAGCAGTTAAGAGCACAGCTGCTCTGCCAGGACCCAGGTTCAATTCCCAGCACCCACATGGTGACTCACAACCTTCTGTAACTCCAGTCCCAGAGGATTTGATGATCTCTTCTACCCTCCGTAGGAACCAGGCACCAAAGCAGTGCACAGACATGCATGCAAGCAAAACACTAACACACATAAAACAACGTTTAAAAATCTGAAACAGCAACAACAACAAAACCACATAAAGGGGCGGATGTGGTGGTCCACCCCTTTAATCTCAACTCTCAGGGGGATCCCCGAGTTCCAGGCCAGCCTGGTCTACAAAGCTAGTTCCAAGCCAGCCAGGGCTACACAATGGGAACCTGTCTGGGAAAAAAAAAAATCATCATATCCACTTTACTGGGCTGTCCTGGTAACACAGATTTAGTCCACTGCTTGGTAAACGAGAATCTGTTCTAGAATATCACCTGAGGACCACGGATGCCCTAGAAGAGTTAGAGGGGGAAAGGCAAGAGGCGTTTCAGAGCTCCACCGCAGGTGGATGCCCAACCCTGCCTGCCTCTCCCACCTCAATTAATCCGAGGTCCCCTTCTCCAGAGACTTCTTCAGAAGGGGCGTGACCACTGATACTGGCCCCGCCCTTGCACCCCGCCAGTCCCCCAACCCCCTTTGCCATCCTCACCTACCACATACCACCTGTTCATGCTCTCCCATCAGGGACCACGAAGCCAGTCCCAGCTGTGACGCTGAAGTTTTGATCCCTTGGGGACACCTTCGCTGGAAAACGCCGAAGGCCGAAGGTGGAGTCACAGAGAAGGGCGTGGTCTGCACTTAAGCCCCGCCCGCTCACTCCGGGTCAGGCGCGGAGCTCATTGGCGCCTGAGTCTCTTCGGTGTGACTGGATGAAGTTCGGAGAGGCGGGACGGCAGGATGATTCCCGCGAGCTGACTGGGCAATCGCTGAGTGGGCGGGCCCAGAGTTGTCAGATATGTGATCTTATTGGCTTCTGGCTGGCTGGGAGGTGGGGCGAGGCCTGCGGTGCGGAAGAAAACCCGGGAGGTCTCAGGCGAGCCGGAGCTGCATAGGCGCTGCCCCGGTTCGTGCACGCCTGACCTCGGGTGCTCCACGGTGGGATCATATGGGGACCCTGGGGGTGCCTCGGGATGTTTCTGTGTTGTCTCAGGTTTCTGGATGAGGGCTCTTAGAGCCAGGGTGATCCCTGGAGACCTAGGGATGCGAACTTGAGCTGCTGGGACTCTGGCTTTTGGGGTTCTATAAGGTGCAGTTGATACTGGTGTCTAGAGAAAGCCTGAGATCTTTTGCTGTAGAATTTTGTTTGTTTTTGAGACAAGGCCTCATGTATCTCAGATTGGTCTCCAGCTCCTGATCCTCCTGTCTGTACCTCCTCACTGCTGGAATGACAGAAAGGAGCCAGTGCTTGTCTTACACTGAGCTGGAGATGGAACGCAGGGCTTCCTGCACGTGAGGCAAGCACTGCCAGCTCAGCCACTTCCCCGGCTGGAGCCTGAGCTATTTATTGTTTGTTTTAAGACAGTCTCACCATATCTTAGGCTGTGATTTTCAGTGATTTTCCTGCATCATCCATATGTTGGGATTACAGGTGTGAGTCACACGGCCAGTCTCTGTTTTTAAATGCTTTTTGGAATGGAGGAGTAGCAATCCCCCTGTGTCAGTCTCCCAAGTGTGAGCTTCCACACTGGACTGAGATTGTTTTATTTATTATTATTATTATTATTATTATTATTACTTATTGCCATTACTTTGCAAGTGTTGGGAAGGGACTGTGAGGCCAACACTAACCAAGTCTCTGACCTCAAAGCCACAATTCCAGCCCCGAGCCTGAGCTCAGATGGACTGGTTGGGCATGAGGCTGTCCAGGGATTGCTTTGGGTCTTCCCACTGCCGTTTCCAGACTTTTCCCTCATCTCTGCACCCGTGTGGGGCTGGCCCTAAGCATTCTCTGCCAGGTTTCAAAGCTAGGGGGCAAAGGTTGACAGTTAAGCTGAATCACTGGTGCCTCCTTCCCAGGGCCACAGGATGGAGGACAGTGAGGATCCAGGAAGCCTGATTAAGGTGGTCCACTTGCTGGTCTTGTCTGGTGCCTGGGGCATGCAGATGTGGGTGACCTTTGCCTCAGGTAGGGACCTCCAACCTGTTACTTAGGGTGGGGACTGAATGGGAGGGGAACCTGGAAGGGTCCTAATGGGTGTTTGTGGCCCTCCCCCTCCCAGGCTTCCTGCTTTTCCGGAGTCTTCCTCGGCATACCTTCGGGCTAGTGCAGAGCAAGCTCTTCCCTGTCTACTTTCACATCTCCTTGGGCTGTGCCCTCATCAACCTCTGCATCTTGGCTCCGCAGCGGGCCTGGATCCACCTCTCGCTCTGGGAGGCCAGTCAGGTATGAGGGTTTGAGGGCACCATTCTCTGCAGATCTGTCCCCAGGACTCCAGTGAGCACTTATAGAGACTTCATTTTATTTTAATGTGTGTGTGCGCGCACGCGCGTGCATGCGTGTGTGTGTGTGTGTGTGTGTGTGTGTGTGTGTGTGCACATTCATGTGCACAATCACGTGTAGAGACCAGGTTTTGATGTTGTATCTTCCTCTCCAACTCTCTACCTTACTTTTGTTCTTTTGAGACAGGGTTTCTCTGTATAGCCCTGCTGTCCTGGAACTCACTCTGTAGACCAGGCTGGCCTCCAGCTCACAGAGATCTGTCTCCCTGCCTCCCGAGTGCTAGGATTAAAGGCTTATTTATTTTTTTGAGACAGGGTCTCTCATTGAACCCGAGGCTCACTGATTTGGTCAGACAAGCTGACTGGCAGTCTCCAGGGATCCTCGCACCTCCGTCTCCCCAGCACTGAGATTACAGGCATGAGCTGCCATGCCAGGCTTTGTAACAGGGTGCTGGGGGCTGGACTCAGGCCCTCCTGCTTGCATTGCACACACCTACTGACCACATCTCCCCAGCTCCTCCTTTGATGTTATTTTCATAGTGCTGGGGATAAAACCCAGAGCCCCGCACTAGCTAGGCACGCACTCTGCAGGTACATCTTCTTGACCTACATGGGTAGTGGTGGTGTTATTCCAAGGCAGGGTCTTGAACTCAGTATATGGAAGATGAGTTTGAACTTCTGGTCCTCCTGCCTCCTGAAATCGCAGGCATGTTCTCCCACCCATCATTTTATGAAGTGTTGGGAATTGAACCCAAGGCTTTGTGTATGCCAGACAGGAACCCTGCTAACTCAGCCACATCACCAACCCTCCGGTGGAAAAAAAAAAAAAATTAAAGATTTATTTTTATTATTTTCTTTTTGGTATTTTGAGACAGGGTTTAATCTCTGTAGCCCTGGCTGCCCTGGAACTCACTCTGTAGACCAGGCTGGCCCCTGCCTCTCCAGTGCTGAGATCAGAGGTGTGCACCCAGCTTTGATTATTTTCATTTATGTGTTTATTGTCTGTGTGTAGATATGTGCATATATGTGTGGGTACCCTCAGAGGCTAGTGGTGACAAATCACCCTAGAACTATAGTTACAGGCAGCTATGAGCTGCTCAGAGTGGGTGCTGGCAACCAGACTCGGTCCTCTGCAAAAGCAGTGCTCTCTTAACTGCTGAGCCAGCCATCTCTACATCCTCAGGCTGGCCTCAAACTTGTGCATTCTCCTGCTTCCACTTTTCAGGATATCCTTCTGGTGTGGGCCACCACAACCAGCTCAAGTGACATTGTTTTGAAAAGGGGAAAGAAATGCCTCTTATTCCTGGTAAAGACAGAGCTGGTCACTGGGTGGCCTTGAACAGTGCACACATCCGGCATGGCTACCCCGGCAGCCCTCCATGTCCAGCCTTATCTTCCCCATTGGCTCTCATCTCCTCTGTGCCTGATAGCTGGGCCTCCTGCCAGACTGCAGTGACTCAGCTGAGCTGAGGTTCTGACCTCAGTCCATTGTGTGAAAACTAGCCGGACTGGGAATTTAGGTTTCCCCGCTCCCATGTACACTTTCCCTAAGCCACAACGTAAGGAACAATTCTTACAGCTCAGTACAGCTCAGGTTTCCTCACCCTCCCCTCCCTCTGCTCTTGACGTTTCAGATGTGGGCAGGTGAGACTTGATGGGTGTGTCACCTCTCAGCCTGGTGTGGTGGTGCACACGGCACACACACACACACACACATACACACACACACACACACACACACACACCACCCCAGGATGTAGGAAGATTAACCAGGGAGATTACACAAGTTCCAGGCCAGTCTGGGCTGCATAGTAAGACTCTGGTTCAAAAACAACAACAACAAACAAGCCAGGTGTGATGGTGCGCACCTTTACTCTCAGCAATCTGGAGGCAGAGGCAGGAGAATCTCTGTGAGTCACAGGCCAGCCTGGCCTACATAGAGAGTTCAAGGACAGCCGGAACTACACCGAGAGAGACCCTGTCTCAAAAAACATTAATTAAAATTAGGCCAGGTCGTGGTGGCACATGCCTTTTATACCAGCACCCAGGAGGCAGAGGCAGGCAGATATCTGTGAGTTTGAGGCCAGCCTGCTCTACAGATCCAGTTCCAGGACAGCCAGGGCTACCCAGTGAAACCCTGTCTCAAAACACCAAAATAGCCGGGCGTTGGTGGCGCACGCCTTTAATCCCAGCACTCGGGAGGCAGAGCCAGGCGGATCTCTGTGAGTTCGAGGCCAGCCTGGGCTACCAAGTGAGCTCCAGGAAAGGCGCAAAGCTACACAGAGAAACCCTGTCTCGAAAAACCAAAAAAAAAAAAAAAAAAACACCAAAATAACTAAAATAACAATTTAAATTAAAAACCAAGGCTGACATGTGGTAATCCCAGCTCTTGGGGGCAGAGGTGGGAGGATCAGGAGATCAAGGCCAGTGTCAGCCACACAGGGAGCCTGAGCTACTGAGATCCTGTCTCAACCCCACAAAAGAATAGTCTCTTAGAGCTCAGAGAGGGTTCTGAGTAACTGGTATTTCCCAGGTGATTAATTGAGTTCCTGTTCGTTCAGTGTCAGTTTCTGGGGTCTGAGATGGGCCCTATTTTAGGCTGTGAGCAGAAAGAATGAAGGAATGATGAGTGTTATCTGTCTTCCTTTTGGGGAGAGTAGATGGGCATCCTATCATCCCAGCTCTTTGGGAGGCTTAGCCAGGAGGATTGCAAGTTCAAGGCTAGCCTTGGCTACATAGTGAGTTCTATTCCAGCCCAGGTAACTTAGTGAGACCTTGCCTCAAAGTGAAAAGAGCGGAGGCTGGGGGATGACTTGGGCAGAAAAGTGCTTGTGCACATACCTGAGGACCAGAGTTCGAATCCTCAGCATCCATTCAAACCGCAAACACAGAGGAGTTACCCAACATGGGGAGGGGGTGGAGTCAAGGGTGGAGACAGGCAGATCTCTGAAGCCCATTGGCCCACCAGTCAGTCCAGCTGAATGAGGGAGTTCCAGGATCAAGGAGAGACACCATCTCAGAAACCAAGGTGGACGGTTTAGCAAGCAAAGGCCCTTGCTTGCCGAGCCTGATGACAATCTGAGTTGGATTCCTGAGGGTCTACATGGAGGCAGAAGAGAAATGACTCCCTCATGTTGTATCACACACACAAAGGCATGTTATTACACACACACACAAACACATGCACGCACACACACACACACACACACACACACACACACACACACACCAAGTAAATGCAATAAAAAAATTTTTAAATGAAAAAGGGCCAGGTGGTGGTGGCGCACACCTTTAACCCCAGCACTTGGGAGGCAGAGGCAGGTGGGTCTCTGTGAGTTTGAGTCCAGCCAGGACGGCTAGGGTGAGAAACA